GACGAATATGTATTTTGAAATTTCTTCGAAACTATAGCGCTTTTGAATAGCTATATGACTTCACTTTGTATAAGCTTCGTTGCTACGAGTATAATCGTTTCGTAGAATATTATCCTTAGTAAAAGAGGTGTGCTGGTCGACAGTTATTGTAAAAAAAAAATTAGAGCGCCATGGCAAACATTGAGATTTGATTATTGAAAAGTGACGCTGTGGCCAGATGCCAGAGGTCGGGGGTTCGAACCCCATACAGTACAATAAACGTGAGAGCATATTGTTTGTATTGGCATAAATGCTTATATTTATGTATCGTTAGTATGTTAAGCATGTATAAGCACTTATCTAAAAATATGGATACGTGGTTATGTGTATACTCAGAAGTACATTTTGATGAAGTTTATTTAAAAGCTCTATTTACTTTGGGGATAGATAAAAATAAGTTAAAACGTAGTTAAATATCGGAAGTTTTTATGTTATAGTACCTTTTGGTTGATGATCTTAGCTGCACAACATACTTAACTCAGTATTCCAGTATAAAATTGAAAGTGTTTAACAGTTTAGGGAATAACAGTAGCTGAGCAAACCCAGCTTATGAAACTTAGTTTACAAGGCAAAATTTCGCGGCGCTCGCAAGGAAAATAGTCTACGAAGCTTGTACGTAGCAAATGATGTGGGTAATGCCGCTCTTCCCAAGGAACGCTCCAGAATATTCCAGAATTCACCCGTTCGAGATAAAATATACTTTATTAAGTTTTAAACGTTCTAAAAGGAACAGCTGTTATTATTTGCGTAAAAAATCATCGTTTGAGCTAAAATGACGTCCACTGCTGGACAAAGGCCTTCCCCAAGGATTTCAGCAACGACCGGTTCTGCGCCGCCCGCATCCAAAAGCAAACACCAAGTGCATTATTGCTATTTTTTTAAACGTTCTTACAAACAATCGAATTTTGAAGAATGAAGATGAAGACAATCAGATATTCACCAAAACAAATAGCAAAAAATGCCTTTCCATACAAAATTCCGCGTTCCGCGTACCGGAAAACGCAGCGTGGGACGTCCACCTACAAGGTGGACCGACGACATCGTAAAGGTAGCAGGGAAGCGCTAGACGCAGGCCGCTACCAATCGATCAACGTGGAAAGCATTAGGGGAGGCCTATGTTCAACAGTGGACGTCCTATGGCTGAAATGATGATGATGATACAAAATTAGGTAGTTAACTGTTAACTTTGTATGGTAATGCTTTTTTGCGATTTTTCTCTGCTTTTGGTGAATGATAGTTTGTGGATAATCACCCATTATCGTTATTGTACTAATAAAAAAATGTGTTGTATCTAGGTTTGGCATTCAACGAGTAGCAAAGGTGGTTTGGCAGACATGGGATAGTCGGGTGCCAATTAATGTGGCCATTTTTTAGATCAAATCATGTTTAAAAATGTAGATACCACTAAAAGTTACTTAAAAATACTCTAACCAGTTTTTGGCAGGACTTTTTAAGTTCACACGAACATCCTGTTTTCAGTGTCCCGCAAAAAACGATCTGTTCGAATGTGTTCGTTACAGTTAAAGTAAGATGGTGCAACCCAGGGTTACAAAATCCCTTCTCCTAACTGCCAGTGAAATGAACTCAACTCAACTTTTATCATCCATAAGTAGATTCTAAGCGACCCCGCGCACTAGGCAGCCTACATGTGGTAGCCAAGAGTGTTCATATACCGGATATGAACATTGAACACTATTGGCTGCCTAGTGCGCGGGCTCCCATAATACTATGCTCCCATAATGCTAAGTAAACATAATAATGGGTATATCCAAATAATCAAAGTATCATATCCAAAGAAAAGTCATGAACTGACGCATATTCCCTTTGTTTTATAAGTCATTTCTCTCTAATTAAAAGTTCCCTTGATGAGCTCGCAGTCGCGGCCTTTTGAACAAAGCCGTAAAAGGGATTATAAAGTTTTTAGAAAGATTTACACGAGAACAAGCTCAAATTTTTATGGGCCGTTTGGCGGATAAAGATTACAATTGATACTGAATTATCTTGAAGAAGAGAGAAGAGTCGTTCACAAATTGTAGATGAGTTTAAGAGTTTGACCTCTGGCCTTTTTTCTAGGGATTTGCGTTTTAAGTCTCTGACGCATGACGCAGTGTAACAATCCGCGTAAGTAGCGCTTTTCGGTTGAAGGTTACTTCAACTTCTTTTTATCAATTTTCTTTCCAAAAGAGTTACCATGCAAATATTATAATCTATGCATTGCCTACTGGTTTTTGGTCAAGGCAAGTTTAGCTTAGACCAATACCGTGAATGCAAGAGTCCTACTCGAATTTGACTGAATTTTTCTTCTAATTTCAATAATTTTAGAATGATAATAACATTGGCTTTCGAAAGCACGCCATTTTGCGTTATATTCAACCCATTGTCCGCATTCATTAATTTCAGATGATCGGTTGTACAGTTGACATCATGCTATTCATTTTTATTGTAAAACTAGCTGCGCCCGCGACTTCGTACGCGTATTTCCCGTTTTTTACTGTTCCGCTCCTATTGGCTGAAGCATGATGTTACTCGTATATAGCTCAAAGCCTTCCTTGAAATGCGCTATCCGACACAAAAATATTTTTTCAAATCGGACCAGTACTTAGTTCCCGATGAGCGCGTTGAACCAAACAAACAAACTCTTTAGCTTTATTATAATTTTATATTAGTATACTCGTAGTCTCTCGTAGATAGCATCTACTTATAACAACTACTAGTCCAGTCAATAAAGCATTATAGATGGAAAACTGTAGAACACAAATTCTGACTTCAGGACTTTATTTAGACTAGTAAGGAGGTGAACATAGTAAAAGTCCCCACCCTTAGCCCTTGAGCCGGCGGGGAGAGGGGGGTTTAAAGGTGCCACTTTTCGGTTTTTCGCTTAATCCTCGGAAACTATGCGTCCTAGTGACATGACTACTTTGAACCAAAAAAAGCATATTCAATTTGCTACAGATGAGATAGACAAGTTTTTCTATAAATTGTATAGTTTTCGCGGCATCTGCTCTAGAAGGTCTGTAATATTGGAAATTTTATTTTTGTCTTACATGTTCCCATCAGGAGAAAATCGACTAAATCAACATTGAGCAATCATTCTAGACATGCGGGAGCATGTTAAGCCTAGTTCCAGCGAGGGGACTACACCGTGCGTATATTTAGACGAATCACTTTGAGCCACTTTTGACTCCTCATCACTCAAAAACTACTGTGCATTAACACTTCAAATTTGGCTCATGTGTTGAGACTTGCAAGATATACATCAGTTTCAAATTTCATAAATATGCCTCAAACGGTTCTTTAGATATTGACGTCCAAAAATCTACATGTCTGACCTATAGACCAAATTCTAACCACTTCCAGATGACCTCGAAGGTTCAAATTTGGCATCCAGAAAGGTAGTTATGTAAATACAAAGGAACAAATAAAAAACCAGTAAATTTTAACATTTCACATGTGATAGATAGATTTTAGTGCTCTAAATATCGATTTTTGAACGTCAATACCTAAATAACCGTTTGAGGTATATTTATGAAATTTGAAGCTGATGTATATCTTGCAAGTCTCAATACATGAGCCAAATTTGAAGTGTTAATGCACAGTAGTTTTTGAATGATGAGGAGTCAAAAGTGGCTCTAATTGGTTCGTCTAAATATACGCACGGTGCAGTCCCCTCCATGGAACTAGGCTTAACATGCTCCCGCATGTCTATAGTGTTTGCTCAATGTTGATTTAGTCGATTTTCTCCTGAAAGGAACATGTAAGACAACAATAAAATTTCCAATTTTACAGACCTTCTAGAGCAGATGCCGCAAAAACTATACAAGATATAGAAAAACTTGACGGTCTCGCCTGTAGCAAATTGAATAAGCTTTTTTTGGTTCATAGTAGTCATGTCACTAGGACGCATAGTTTCCGAGGATTAAGCGAAAAACCGAAAAGTGGTACCTTTAAACCCCCCTCTCCCCGCCGGCTCAAGGGCTAAGGGCGGGGACTTTTGCTATGTTCACCACCTAACTAGGCTAAATAAAGTCCCGATGTCAGAAATTGTGTTCCACGGATTTCTCTCTACACCGTCGTTAAGGCATTCATTGACTGGACTATACATAGACTTTAGGTTGACGTGCTGTCGTCGCCGTCTTTACACAAAGAAGTGGCCATTGAACTTCTTTGCAATCGATTAATTAAGAGACAAGAGGGTTGATTAAAACCTCTTTGACGCGCATTTAATGCTTGGTTGCTTTAACTGAAAGTCAGTGTTTTGTAGAAAGAACAGCTCATAAATTGTATAGATGACCTACACTGAACCGTCCTAGCTATGATAATATATTGTCGGAATTCATTTTCCACTTGATGTTTCAGAATGTTTGGACTTAAATAATGTTTACTTTGAGAATACTCAATAAAAGCTACTTTTTCAGTGCAACTGTGACGTGCTGTGCTTGTAGGTAGGTACAGTGATATTTCTAACGTAGTAAATTAGAAGAAAACTCAAAAAATTTAGCCATAAGTATTTACATTTACGGACGCTAATTCTATCCCAGACGTCCTCTCGACTATACTCGTATAGTACCCTTAGGCTGGGATGCACCATCTTTTTTTAACTTTGACAAACATCAAAATCTGTCAAACTCGACACAAAAAGCACCGGTTATCGTTACCTTTAAAGTTAGGTGATGCAACTCACCCTTAGTTAACCAACTCCTAACATAAGCATAATATAATTCTACTTACAAGAATGTTACCAAAGAAGGTAAAGAAATAATAACATTCAGAATTTCAAATAATATGCTAAGATACCGAATCCAAACCTACCCCAATTCCATCCCATTCACGACATCATTTTTCGTCTCTACTGCTTACGTGCGAATATTCTCAAACTCGTGCGACAGTGTGCGAGCGATATTTACCTGAATCGACGACTTCAAAATAAGACGTCCCACGTACCAAGCGAAGAGCCACCTGTGTCCCGAGTGGTCATTCTTCAAAGAATCGGGTCGGGTAGGACACGGTTGTAGAGATTCTGGAAGGAGAAGATTATTTTGTATGAGAATAGGGATGTTTCCTGGGTAAAAAAGCAAGTTTGAATTAGTCCGTAGGTTAACTTATCGATGCGTATTTTCCACTTTTTCAAACTAATGAAAATTGGAAAACATAAAGCCTACCAAAGTTGAAACGTGATGTCAAGGCGTGCTTAAAAGTGTAGCACTTTGTGACATAAACTTCGTAATTACTTGTTTGATTGACAAAGAAAAAAATACGTATCCAATATTTTTTGATAATGTGATTGACGGACTAGGTATAATTTTTTTTTGGAAACTAGCCTATTGTTCATTGTTTACTACCACAGTTACAGTACCTCTAGCATGAACAACTTTCGTCTTCGAATCGTTTGCGTATTCGATAAATCTCAATCTTCGAATTAAACGATAACGTGACAATTTTGATTCTCAAAATAAGTTTCGTGCAACCACATCTCATACTAAGTTCACTTTACGACACGTTCACAAGGGCGCTGTTGTAGTTTTCTTACTAAATCTTTTGATGGCGATTCGAGTACGCAAACGATTTGAACTCGAAAGTTTTTCGTGCTAGCCGTACTGATTGATGTACCAAGTTTTCCGATCGCATAATTTCACGTAATTCAGCTGTCAAGTGGCCAGTTCGACCATGTGATTTAATACAGCTGGATTATTTTTTGTGAGGTACCTATAATATTAAAGACAGGGTCTATACGGAGCCAATCGTATATTGTATTGTCTTTAAATTTAAAATTCGTGAAGTGAATTAACGAAATAGAGTAGCCGCCATTTTGCTGAAAAGTGATAAATTGATATTCTTTCGAATATAATCCGTAACTGTGGTTGTGGAGGACATTTATCTGATGCTATTTTTCAGTCATTGCCAAAGAAAAAAATATTGTCATCAACATGCAATGTTTTGTTTTGATTTAGTACCATACAAAGTTTTTGTTAATATCTACAATTGACGTTATTAAAATCTCTACTTGCATACTAAAACCACGAAAAATTATATTCGCCTGAAACAAAAACGAAATGACGTTGCTTCGTTTCAGACTTTATTTTACCAACATTATTTTAATAAAACCCCGAAACTCAGAACATTCCAGAACTAATATCGGGTTCGGGAGTTCTTCGCTACAATATGATGAAATTCGTACGAGAAAATAGTGAAATATGAAAGAGAACATGTTAGCATGACAGATCCAGACGGATTATATTTGTTGTAGTCTGTTACTTAGCGTGACTCGAGTTTATGTAAGTCTTTTGAGTTTTTATAGACAGACTTTTGGCTTAGTGGTTTGGTAATAATGCTAGGTCTGGTTGCGGGGTCGAATCTCGTTTGAGACTAACGCGTATTCACAAACGATGCTTGCTTAAGTTAAGCTTTTTTTTACTGTTCCGCTCCTATAACACAAAATTATTTTTTCAAATCGGACCAGTAGTTCCTGAGATTAGCGCGTCAGCTTCAAACGAACTCTTCAGCTTCATAATATTAGATGAGTAAAGTAAAAAGTTTTTTTACTGCTCCGCTCCTATTGGCTATAGGGTGTTGTTATACATATAGCCAAAAGCCTTCCTCGACAAATGGGTTATCCAACACAAAAATATTTTTTCAAATTGGACCAGTAATTCCTGAGATTAGCGCGTCAGCTTCAAACGAACTCTTCAGCTTCATAATATTAGTAAAAATAGCATAGATGAGTAAAAATTGATACTGAATCATACGAGTATTTCCCCCATGACAAATGCAGTAAAGCCCCGATTAGACTATCGCTAAAGACCATTTTTCTCGCACACGCTAACGCAAATTGCATAGAGAATCCCAATGAGTACCCCGTCCGATACCGGCGAAGAATTGACGCGTTCCTTCTTTCAAATGGCTATTTGTACGTGGAATTTTTCGAGTCGTAGATAACAGTTATAGCTCAACCAGAACGGCCAGGTATTCTAATTTGGCTGTGGAAAAAGCTCGCATTGAAGACGATTTTGATAGCACTTGTAATTAAGTAGTTATAGGTACTATCAGTGTAACTTTTTAATAAAGTGTAGTAAAAATTGCTTAATTTTAGTTACCTACATTCTCAAGTTTACTTAATCCAATTTTGGTACAATAATTGATAAAAGCTGTGACTGAAAAAGCTTCTCGTAGTTTTAAACTGAAATCGGTAGGGGCTGTAAATTACTTTGTTTTTTTTTGCAATAACTGCTTGCATTGTTTCTTTTAGGACTACTTATTTAGCAAATTAAAATATTTTTACGAATTACAAATGACTTTCCTCAAAATTAAAAAAAAGTAGAATTTAGTAACACTTGAATTTTACAACCAGTTTTCTCTCTGACATTACTTATCACGACGCCGCGCCATTGCTTTCTGAAAACTCGCCGATAGTTTTCCGAACGGGCTGGCTGTTCTCCCCGGCTTACGGGGTAACAAAGGGAGGGAATTTATCCCAAATCCCGTTAGCCCAGTTTTGAACACACCTGTTTCAGGGAGATTGTTTCCACTGCACCTTATGGGCGGGTCGTGACGTGAATAAACGCGATCGAAGGTCCCACATTAAAGATGGTCGGTACTTAGTCATTATCTTATGTCTTCACATATTTTTAGCGGGCCTCTAACGATAAGGGTTTTTACTCGTATGTTTGGAAAATCGGAGAAGAAGTGTTGATTCTGATACCGTTATACCATACTACCGATCTGTTGTTGCGATAAATGTTTCTCTCTTTTCCCAGTAAGTTGACTTAGAGTCATTATGACAGGTGTGGAGGCCACTTACCGGAAAATGCAGCATGAGACATCCACCCACAAGGTGGACCGACGACCTGATAAAGGTAGCAGGAAGGCGCTACTAACCGTGCGATGTGGAAGTCATTGGGATAGACCTATGTTCAGCAATGGAAGTCCTGTGGCTGAAATGATGATGATGACTTAGAGTAAGTACTTTTGCATATCCCAATAAAACTTTTTGGTATTATTGCTTCAGGCAATTATAATATTTCTGAACGTATCCTGTTACTATAAATATTTGACAAACAGTAGCTGGATTGGCGAACTTCGGTAAACTACTTATTGTATGATATGAAGTGTCAAATGCGGAAAATGGAAATACCTAATTTATTTACTAAACATTTCTTTTGTAATAACAGGTTGAAGTCAATAATTAAGATAAAACTATCCTATCTTTCAAGTTGGATCAAATAACAGAGTTACGAAGCTTGATCAAAATCGATTCAGTAGTTTCAGAGTTTATGCCGAACATCATGTGTCATGAGATTTTTATACATATATTTAAGATTTTCGCTGCAAAATAACACCTATTATAACCACAAGACCAGCTTGACATGCTCCATCCTTCAACGTTATTAGCTTGTCCTGCCCAATGACTCAGCAGAGTCCCAGTGACTTTTCGCAGTTGACTGGTAACGGCTGGCATTTTAAAATGTTACGTACCACGGATGAACACCTCCATCTGGCGGAAGCCTATTAATTACATTGAACATGATACGTATTGAGAAAGGTGTGAACTAGCGTCTTGAGGACTTGGGTAATTTTGTTTTTGGTTAAAATTGAATAAGAAATACAACTTGAAAAAATCTAATACTGACTTTTTGCGCTGTTTCTTCTCAGCACAGGCCCAGTTATTGTCCTGAAGCAGTGCTAGGGTTAATAATGGGACGTAAATAAGTGCTTTTTAAACGATGCTTGCATAAATAAATGAGTTTTATTTACCTTAAGTGAGGATCGATTTCGTCCACAAGTGCCACAAGAAGACAACCATTCGCACAATAATTAGGAAATACATTGATTTGTATAACGAAATTATACAGCTGCATGCATGCCTATATGCTTTTTCAACAGTAATTTAACCATGAGGAGTAAGTTCACCATAGCAGTCTATCGGGCAATGATGATAGGATCGAAGTGATCCAAAGAATCGAAAGAAACGTTGCTTAATAATATAGAAAACTAAACCAAAGTACGAATTGTACTTCACATTATTTCAATAGTAAAAAATACTACAACATACTTTGTTCTAAATCCAATGTTTTCATTGTTATTACGATACTAAAACTTTACTATTAAAACTTGTAGCGCGTTCTTTTTAATTCAACTAATTGGAGATACGAGTACAACACTGGATTTTAATTAATACTAACAAATAGTAACGTGTCTGGTGAACCTTAGGATTTTAATGAAAAGTTAGACGCTTTCATAATTATTCTAGTACAGTCGACTGCATTTTTCAGTGTCTTTCTTTGTTGGTTTCATTTTACTGGCAGTTTTAGGTTGGGTTCCACACTATTATCAGTATCGTAAAAAGTGTGTGAGTCGCTGTCAAAAATAAATCCATAAAAACAGACAGAAAAAAAGCTTAGACTTTTTATAAATAGATTTTGAATGCTGTAATATAGAATTATAAATTCTCCCATTAGTCTGCATAACATAGTCTTCCTACATCGAGAGTGAAATTAAATTGAACTTAAAAAATACGTACTTGACTATACCGTTTGCGTCTCTAGTTTGAATCAGCCACTGACTCTAGGAGTCGCGCTAGGAGTTTGCTTTCATGCAGTTTGATTCTAGGGAAGAGTTAAAATCTGTTCTTTATGCAGTCTCTTATTTAAAACTTTTTATTACAATACATTGGAAACATTGAAATTAGAACTAAATAATGTTTATCGATTTCTGTATGAAGTCTGCACACAGGTACTCTGAATATACTCGTTCTCAACACTCCTAACATTTTTGTTGAATTCAATCCTTAAATGGCAGATAATGCCACCTGGCATTAAGTCCGCCACTGTACAGTTGTATGTGCAAAAGTGTAAATAAATAAATAAATAAATAAAATCAAAAGAAGTCAACAAAAATACAAAGCTCTATTGTCAAGCCAGTGATTCTATGGAATTCCATGGAATCTTTGAACAACACCACAACGCCAGCCAGTGTCGCTATCAATGGTAAATCAAATTACTTAATTTATATCGTGTAAGTCAT